GAGAGAGAGAGAGAGAGAGAGAGAGAGAGATTTAAGTGAGACAGAGAAGCTACTCCGTGCTGCGCGGAAGCGCAGGTCCAGGCAGGTGGCCGTCACTCTGAGTGCCCCTTCCTGCTCTCTCCATCCCTCCTTACAGCAGCACTCAGGTCGTCATAACTAAGCTTTCTTTCCTTCCCTGCCACCCACCCTCTGCTCTTACCACAGGTTGTATCAGGAAAAACGGAGTGACTGAGAGGGGAACCCTAAAGATTTTGTTCCTTCACCTAAGAAGGGCAGGCTGGGTTTCCTGGGCTGGCATAAATGAAGGGCACTTAGGAGCTTTTCTTGGAGAATGTAGACATCTAAACAGAAAGCTGTTTATTTGGTTCCTCAGCAGCATCCACGGTATCTCCATTGACACCACGGGCGACAAACACGCGCACCCAGCGCCCACGCGCGGTGCCCGGATTCCAGGTGCTGCATCTGGGGCCGCGAGCACTTGTCCCTGGCCGAGATTTGAGCTGAAGGAGCTGTTGTCCACCCGACTTCTGGCTTTGGGCGAAGGGGGTGGTGCGGTGAGAATGAGACTTGTCAGCAACGTGAAGCCGGTCCAGGTTACTGACCGGCAAAGGCAGCAGATTCGGGTGCCCTTCTAGGGCAGTATCCTGGGTCGTTGCTGAAGTAGGGATGTCTGTTCTTGCTACCTAGACTGAGGCTGCTGGGAGCGGGGGCGGGGACACTTACTGCGAATTCAATTTTTGGAACTTGTTCCGTGGCAAAGCCTCAGTGGAGATTCCGGCGCCTGGCGCTGCAGGGCTGTGAGTCTATGATAAGCATCCGCACCTTTCCGAGCTCGGAGGGTTTTTATAGCACGGTGTAGGCGGCGACGCCGTCCGCGGTGGCGGACGGGGGCGGGGAACAATGTGCTTGTGCGGGAGGGGGGGGGGCGCCAATGAGCGGAGTTCGCCGGAGGGGCTGGGAAGCTGATGTCATCGGGGTTGAGTCGGCTCAATGAAACCCGGCGGCACACGCCTCCTCCGGCGCACAACCAATGGGCGCCCGCCGTCGAGAGATTCTTGGGGTGGGGAGGGGGGTGGAGCCCAGGAGGTGAGAGGCTAGGGGCGGAGCAGGGTGCGCTTCCAGCAGACCAAAAGAGGGCCAAGCGCTCGGGGACTTAGAGGCAGAGGGGATAGCGTCAGATTTCTGAAGAAATACGGTCTTAGCATTGTCGAGCTGGGGACATGGTGGGCTAGGGACTCTCCCAACTGATGCTGGACGCGGCCGGATCTTTTCGATGCCACGCATCACCCTGGCGGCCTAGGTGTACAGGCTGTGGTCCCTCCTTAGCTTTCCCTTTTTCACTCTGGTTGTTCTCCCCTTGTCTCCTTTTGGTTTCCATCCACACGTAAGCATTTAGGGCCACAAATGCACGAAGCCCCCACTTTCTTGGCGCTCTCAGCGCTCGTGGACGAGGTCGCCGCAGTTGTGCGGGAGGCGGTGGCGCCCTCAGGTGGGGGCATGGCCCAGCGGGCAGAGGGCAGAGAGGAAAGAAAAGCCTTGGCCATGAGAACCGTGTTTTGAAAATCACAACTTTTCACAAAGTTGAGGACGGTGTAGGCGCATGGACGATTTATTTCCATACAGTAACTGCAGTTAACAAGAGCGAGGGGCCGTGCCCGAAGTTAAACGTCCCCACCTCGTATTTCTCCAGACCGATGATCGTATGGTCTGCACCATCTTTGTGATGATCTCCAAGCCAAGGGCGTGGGGCAACCCAGGTTTGCAAAATGAGATGTCTCAGGCCTGAGCAAAGATTGCTCGCATCCTGGGCCAAAGGGCGAGATTGAATTTTTCCCTGCAGTCTATGAATACAATGTGCTGCTTGCAGCCTCTCAAGCGGACAAGGCCTTGATCACGAAGTATCAAACCTAATGTGGAGAAGGGCTCAGTGTAGCTCAATGTAGTATTCGCCCATTTTACAGATGGAGAAATTGTGCTTACAGCAAACCGACAGTGGAGATCTGCTTGGAATATGGCGTTGGGGCCACCTAAGGTAGAGGCAGCTGCGGTCCGATCTCCCTGACTAGCCCCTAACCTTTCCTCTGAGCTGCATTTTTGATGTCCATAGTTTCCCATGCAGATGTTTGTTTCTGCAAATCTCAGAGGCAAGCTCTCCATAAAACAAAAAATAGTAATTGGTCTTTATGTAGCAATTACAAAACCAACAAACAGTGTCCCTAGGTCCTTGCTAATCAATCTCTCTCCTTCCCTCCCTCCCTCCTTCCCTTCGTCCCCCCCCCCATCTCTCCCTCCCTAGAACACCCAGCGGGTATTTTAGCCTTTGCCCCAGCCTCGTGCCTCCTGGAGCATTATTTTTCAACTCGTGTGTTTCCCAGCTGGCTCTGCAGCCATCCGTTAAATATGTATTTAAACCATGAAGAACTGAAGCGTGGTGATATGCCGTCTAACGGCTATAAGGGTGACCCGTAACCATTCAGTTAGCAGAATCTGTCAGAGGGACTAAGGGGGCGCTTGGAGTGGGGCAGTGGAGGTGGGAGTGAAGAAGCGCTCCGGCTTGGGAATCAGCCCTTGGGCTCGCGTCAGCCGCAGGAGGAGATGCGTGAAGCTGCGCGGGCGAGCGCCGGCTGGGAGGTGGAGTCGCCCGGCCATCCTGGCTCATAAACCCCCGGAGCCCGCGCTCACGCCTCGGCAGCCTCTCTGTCCTAACCGGCACGTGTCCGCGAGTGCCGGGTTCCTTCTTTTGTTGCTTCCCACTGGTATCTGTCCTGGGTCTGTCTGTGTTCTGTTGGGCGTTCTGCGGGAAAGCCCAGTCTGATATTCTTTACAAGGCTGGCGTTGGTGGCGAGGCTGCCAGTTGGGGCTTGCTGGGAGACAGAACTCTGAACGTGAGGACAGCTGGCTTGTACTTCGCTTCCCATCCCAGGGGTCCCTAGGACTGCCCTGGGCCCCAGCCCGTGCCGCAGAGTTGACACTGCTGGGGCAATTCGGGGGCCACGAAGCAGCGTCCCGCGCCTTTCCCCCTACCTCCGGGAAGTTCCTCCTCTCTCCCGAGGCTAGGGAGAAGGGCGCGGTGTGCAAGCCCTTAGGCTCTTATAGCTCAGGGACAATCCGATGCTGGCCGCATTCTCCTTGAGTTACCCCACCCCAGAGAATAGAACACTAGAAGGTGCTCCCCTCGATTGTCCTGTGCCTAGTGCACGCTTCCTGGGCACTGGTCCTAGCCGCATCCCCTAGGACCACGCGGTTCTCAGCAGCGCGCCCGGGCGCCCTGCCCTCCCGAGGAAAGGAGTGCGAACTTGCCCGGGGTAACTGCCCCAGCTCCGGGAGTTCCTGGCTGGCCCTAGCATCCTGGAGCTGTTGGCCTTTTCCGTCAAAACGGAAGACGTGTCTCTCTCTCTTCTTTGTGTTTCCCTTGCACAAAAGGCCGGGTGCGTGTCGAGCTGGCCTTTGCTCGGTCGGCCGCCTGGCGGCCCGGGAAAAACCTGTGCCAAACGGGCCGGGCGGGCTCGCGCCGGAGCTCCGGGGCGCAGACCTCCCACCGCTTTCGGGTTCCTCCCGGGGCCTTTCTGGTCCTACTCCCTTCCTCCCTGAAGTTCCTGCTCGCTTTCAGGCTGTATTTCCGCCTGGCTGCCAAGGAGAGCGGCGTTTCTGCGCGGAGCCCGCAAGGGGTGGCAGTGGGAAGTGAAAGAAAGGAAAAAAAGGAAAGGAGTTGGGGGAGTCATTTCACTCACCGCTCCTGTTCCGGAAATGGGGTGTGTGTGTGCAGAAACAGTTTTTGGCGCCCAAATTACACCATTTTTTTTTTGGGGGGGGGAGTTAGAACTCTCGAAAAAACGGCCCGTCTTCCTGGCAAACTCGGCTCCTGGGCGGCCAGGTCACGCGGACATGCGGCCCAGCGCTCAGAATCGGTCCCAGCGCGCCGCAGGTGCTTGGTAAATACTTCTGAAAGAGTACACACATGCAAAGGTGCGTTGGCTAGAATGGAGCAGGACTGTTTACAGTTACGCGGAATGCTTGTAAACATGGGCAGGGTGCCTTGTGTGTTTAGTCGGTGTGCACAGTAAATCGAAAAGTCTGTAATACGGATTGTGGCGTCTAAGGGAACCTGTAAGAAGATGGGGCTGATGACCGCTATTTAATGACATTTGTCACCACTTAACAGCGACCTGAGCACGGCTCAGCACTTAGAGGTCTGGGCAGACTTTCATTCGATTTCATCTCTCACTGGCCCCACTGGACCAGAGGGGTGTGTTTTTACTCACCTTTTACAGAGAGAAATTGATGCTCAGAGGGGGTTGGTGCTTTGTCTGAGGTCGGGAGAGCCCAGGGGGAGGGTTAGGGGAGAAGGCAGTTGAGGAATGTAGTCAGAAACTGAGAGGCCTCCAGTCCTTCCCTTGGGCCTTAGTTCTCACTCATCAAGTAGGTGTCTAGAAGCTACCTGAGCTCTGGAAGTGTGTCAGGATCAAGAACTGAAAGGTGTGGGAAAAACAGCTTACACCCACTCCGGTGCCTTGACTTTCTCTTGGTTCTGCTGTCCCAATCTTGAGGCCTTGGGGTCCCAGAGCCCCTACCCCGCCCAATTTAGGTTTGCTACTGGCCAGGCTGGGCTAGGAGAGAATTCCTCAGGAACTGCTAGAGCTTGGAAAGAGAAGTGCTGTTCAAAATAATAACCCAGGGGCCGGGGAGATGGTTCAGTTGGAGTAAACGCTTCCCTGGCAAGCACAAGGGCTTGAGTTCAATCCCCAGTTCTGCCAAAATAATAATAATAATAATAACCCAGCAAAGCTCAAACTAACACTGTCCAGCCTCTCCTAGACACCACTCTCCCCTCCCTTTAAGCAGAAGACAGCCCCAAATAGCTGAGCCTTGAAAGTTATTGCCTCTGCCCATGGAACACATTAGGATAGGACTGAGGCATGGGATGGGAATTTTATGGACTCAGATTGCAAACCACAGTCTCACCTAATTTTTGCAACAGCCTCTGGCATTCAGAGGGAAGCACTCTGTTACCATTTTACAGATACTAATGTGTTCGCGTTCTTCTCCTGCCCACTGGATCCCAAGTTCCTGGGGCATCTATGGCTTTCTCCTACACCTCCATCCTTCTACCTAACTCACCCTGCCCCCAAGAGACACTGTCTACACTTGATGCTGTGACTGATCCTGTATTCTCCTAGCACCCCCTCCCACTAATCCAGAAGACTCAGAATGGGGTGGACAGATCAGCAGAGTAGCTATACGTCTGGTGGCAGCTAGAGGTGCCTGTGTGTCATTGGGGGGAGCCCTCCATAGGAAAAGGCAGCTTGCATGGCAGGCGTAGACACTCTCAGCACAATTGCTCCTCCACTCACCAAATGGGCAGCCTGGTTTTCTGTGTCAAAGAAGGATACGGAGGGATGGAGTTAATGAATGGTGTCTCCATAGCTTTTGGGTTCAAGTCTGTACCTTCTTGATGACCTCAAGAGTTTCACTTGTTGTACTCACCCCTTCTCAGGACCTCGGACACCCAGGAGCACTGCTCTTAGCTGTCCCCTCATCCCCTGTCCTCCAAATACTGGGTACTGGGAAGTTCCCTTTCATTCCTTAGCCACAGGACACCCAATACTTCCTTCACCTCTGTCGGGGTTCTCCCCACCTAGCTGTGCCTCTTTGCTCTACATGCCTGCCCCAGGGCAGAGACTGGCTCCTGAAGGGCTCCATAAATCAAAGTGAGGGCTGGTGGTCAGATAGTTACCTACAGAGCCTTGAGCCAATATGTACAAACCACAAAACGCATCAGATGATAGCTCAAAGGTAAGACGC